TTCCAGCCTTGGAAATGGATCCCAAAATTTTTATCGATGTATATAAATAGTTCAGACGGGGGAAAAAATTATATATATATTTGAAAGCCGGATATCGACTAGTGGGCAAATAGTGCAGGCGGTGCAGCCACCCAGAGCCATTGGTTGAGCCATGTGACATCACGACCTTGAACCCAAGCGCATATAACGCTCTTTACATTCGGTACAAATGTGTGTGTCTATGCTCTCGCAAGACCGGATGAATCAGTGAACGAGTGAAGCACAGATTGCGGCAAATAATAATGAATGAAACACGAGCTCAATGCGGTGGCGACGGTGGCAGGAGGATTTTTATTTTTTCCATTTTTATTTTTCACAGTCCAAAGTCCCAGTTGTTCATATTGGGTTTCAGGCTGTTTATTTTCACATGTCTATCTATGGTTATAAATTTTTTGAGGATTCCCGGAGAATTTTCGAACGTCTCTCTATTTTTTTTATTTTCCCGGGAATTTTGTCATTGAAAATTCTTTATTTCAGGACGAAGTCCCTGAAAACTGAAAATTTCGATTCAGAAATTCTCCGGAAATGAGAAGAAGACAGGGAAATTAAGAGAATTCTTAGAATTCTTGACAATTTCTTTTTTTCATCCGAATTTAGGCGGAATATCTGGGAATCTAATAGAAATGCTAAAATTTCGATCAGGACAAGCAATGTATTTACAAGAAAATGTTTGTCTGATAGATTCAAAGATATTCCTCGAAAACTATTATCAAAGTCCACTTATTATCTCTCGCCGCTCCACACCTGGATTATTAACAATTAACGATTATAATGGGGGGAAAATGAATTGAGGGGGAAATTTAATAATGATCTTCTCGGTGAATAGTTTTCTTTTATGGTTGAGAGGAATTTTTACGTGTGGGTTATGGCGCTGGGATGATTAATTCCTCTTTTAAATATTTTTACAAATTTTTTTCATGACTCCATCGCGGTGATGACTATTGTGTTCTATTTCGGTCCAGGAAGGTCACGGTTCCTCACAGCTGAGTCATTCGTCATCCGGATCTCCCTTTTTTTTTCATTCTATCAGAAAATTTCTCCCTATTCTGAACCCCTCGGATGGAATATTATACCAACAGCTGTCTCCCCCTTTCTACCGGTATTTTTTAAAAATAGAAATTACGTCGTTTTGCCGGTCTTCCAGATCTGAATAATCCTTGGGAATTAAATTTTGGGGAAATTCCAGAGAAACAGGAATTACCACAGCCAATTAGAACTTTGAATTGATGACGATGGGCTTTCAGGTGGGAATAACTCGGGATTCGTTGAGTGAAAATCGAGATGTTTTTATTGGTTTTCAAGTTTTTTTTTTCGGATGTTAAAATGAGAACTGGTGAATTGAGTTCGTGTCGTTGGATCTGCAGGTAGTTGGGATTGAGTTTGAATTCGTGAGTTCTGAGCTGTTCTCATCTCGAATTGTTCAGTTTCGGTGAATATCGATTAGTGATGAAATTACCAATTTTGGGAGGAAATGTCAGAGACCTTTTTCTTTTGAAATTTAATCAGCTACAAAAAAGTCCTCTCGATTTTTCACCCCAAATCGATAGCTCTCAAAATAAACCGATAATTCAAAAAATGCGAAAATCGGAACAGCTCATTTTTCCACCTCGTTACTTCGACATATTCTGCGGACATTAACTCGCGGCTAGCAGAGTCAGAAAACCTTTTTTTTCATCTAATTTTGAAGGTATTTTTTCAATGATCAAAATGGCACGTGAAAAATTGGAATCGCATCGTTAGATCGTGAAATATTGAGAATTAAATTTTAATCAGTGAACTCCGAGTGATGGAAACAAAAATTACGAAATTATGGTGAGACATGAACACGAATTCCTTCAATCCAGGGACAATATTTGACGAACAAATACGAGTATAAATCACCGAGAATAATGTTAATGGCATTATAAACCTCAAAAAGTCGGTACTAACTTTGCAAAACATGTGGCAAATGTTAACCTGATCGGTACAACCTATTGTTCGTAGTATAAAGCAAGTTGTTTACATAACATTAGACTTGTGCGTGCAATTGCCCCCACGACCCACTTTTATCCACAATTTCACATCGATAATAATCACACTTTTTCTATTTACATTTTTCTTATTTACTCGTACGTAACAACATGCTCTGGTACTTGGAGGAGTTGTCACTGCCGATCTCTCACGGAAATCTCTGTCGGTTTTATTTATTGGCATTGATTGTTATTGATTTTTTTTCCTTTTCACTCTCTCTCTTTTATCATAAAAAAATAAAACTACGAGGGCAATTGATTTGTCATTCTCAGGAGTGCATTATTTAATACCAGACGAGGGGTAAAGAACAAGTCGATTTTTTCGCTAGACCACTCTGCGGAGATTATCGGTGAATCTAAGAGAAATAGCGAATTTTTGATGAGTACCTTTTTTGGCGAGGAAATTGAGAGCTACAAAAAAGGTATCAGTGAAAATTTCGCTGTCATTGTTAGATTCAGAAGTATTTCTTGAAACGTTTAGTATTCCGTAAATCATGCATTTTCTCCATTAAAGTAAAATATGAAATTAAATAGTTAATTAGGGATTGTCTAATTTCTTGAGAATTTAATACAATGCTGAAAATTTCTGCCGAGTGGAGTGGAAAGTTTCCGGAAAAATGTAGTACGCAGTATTTTTTTACAATTGTTTATTGATTTTGTTTCGTTGGTGTTGTAACCAACTTGAGACGCAATTTTTTCTCGTACATGTATCATTTGGTTGAATAACTACGTGTGGGGCAATTGTTGGGTGGAATTTAATCGCACTCTGACAATGAGCGACAAGTTATTATTTCTTTATCGGTAAATTCATGGACACCGGATCGATTAGGAACTTATCGATTGAATTTTTATAAACCGAATGAATTTTAAACGTCAATGATGGAGATCCAATTCCACTCCATCCAGAATAACTCTGCAACAAGTATTTTTACGATAAAAGCCGTACAACATTTTTCATAAGAAATTTCGCGAGTAACAAAAAATGTCGGATGACATTTTCTCTTAGAATCGCCCGTTAATGAGATAAATCGAGAGTTACCGCACAATCAAGACTCATCTTTCGATTCTA